AGAAGCGAGAAGACATATTAATTTTGGCCAAAGAGTCATGACACTTTCTAACCCTGAAGTTGGCACAAAGAGGAAAACCCACTGGGAAGCTGTCTGACACAATCCACTTTCCGTCAGGCGAACCCGCCTACAATGTAGAGCAGGCCTCGGTCCCAGCTTGGGCCATTAAGGCTGTAACAAAGTGTCTTCCTGAAATCCAGATGGCTTCACTGCATTCTGTTTTTATAAAGTCCCTTTAAATCTGGCCCCTCATCACAGTGCTGAACTTACTGTCCTATTCTCTGCCTAAATACTCACATGACACATTTTGTGCTAGCTGTAAAAAGCATTTGATTTACCACTGCTGTGACCTGAATTAACAGACCCATATTGAGGCCTTGGACAATTCTGGTATATTCAACCATTCAAAGCAGGCACAGAGCAAGCTGAAGGGAGGTGGGCGTGCAGCTGAGATTCCAGAGCCCACAAAATACGCCTGCACAAAAAAAGCTGCGTCGTCATATTCCTTCAGGGTGGAGCCTTACATAACAGTCTGAACTGACCTGAAAGCCCAGAGCCATGAGGAAGTTGCCTGTCTGTGGATCACCGAAAGAGGGGACAAAAGATGATACCCATTTGTATAAAATGTGTATATGCTAAATTATAGACAGATGGAAATTAAGAAATAATTATTTTAATTGTAATAGGAATACAGTCTGTCTTAGCATAATGTGGAAGACTGCAGCCAGGTGATCCACATGCTTCTCTGTTCAGTCTGTTGCCCAAGAGCTAACTGATGATGAGCAACAGTTCTTCTAAAGCAGAACTGGACAGGAGATGCCTCCCAAACAGAGGATGCCTTCAAGTCAAGGATGGGCCTCTGGCGGCCCTTCCAATGGAGGACTATCATCAGTCCACCCTGAGAAAAAAAGGTACTTCTTCCATCTCCCCGTCCTGGAGTCTCACTATCACCATTATGCATGAGGGAAGAGACCCAGGAGAGAAGGGATTCTGATTACCCAACACATCCGAGGGTGGATCCACCCTCCCTTCCAGATTGGACAAGCAGGGGGCTAGTATAGCATAACAGCACAGTGGGGTTATCTTAATATTCCGTCTGGGTTGCAGGTTCTGGAGGGCCTTTGGGCAAGACACTTCCACTGGGCCACCCTTCCTCAGTAAGGCTTCCTTCTCTCCACCCTTGTCACCACCTGCCGTTGCTCTTCGCCCCCTGTCTGATCCTTTCTATCACTTACTGGCTTCACAAGCAGCGGCATCCACTGCTCCTCCTCCTCACTGAAGCACTGCTTGCACCAGAGCAAGTGGCAGGCAGGCAAGCAGGCTGCAATGGTGACAAGGAAGAGCAACCCCGGGGGGCTCGAGTCCGTGGGCACCCGCTGGAGGGTGGGCCCGGGCAAGCGCTCTCGTTCCTACACTTGATGGGCCTGCCCATGTTCACAGACTTCTGCCCCACTGCATGTGCCACATTCTTGGGAATAGCTGGCAAATATAAGTGCGAGACACTTGCATTATCTGTTCATATGCTCCCGAAATGAAGAACCCTGAGCAACACCTCACAGCTCATAGGTCCATTCTCCTTGTTAAAACAGAAGTGCAGAAGTGGGCCAGGTGAACAGCCAGAATGTGTAACCAGAGACGGTAGAAGCCAGGCTGGCCCATCTTACTTGCTGGCAGTCAAATCAGATGTTGCACTAGAGATCTGTGAACACACATCTCAACCTCTTTTTCCTTGCTTAGAATCAGCCAAATTGCTTAAAATCAGCACAGATACTTGTATTTTGCTTGTTGTTTTTTAATCTGCACTGCAGCTTGAAGTGAGGAAGGGGGTTAAATTGAGGAAATGAAATGGGGGGAAGGGCAGCCAACCTCCTTCCTCATTCCCCTGGCCCCGATCCAAGTTGCTTCTTTCTCTGACTGTTGTTTTTAAGCAAACGAAAAGATATCCGAGATGCTAGGCGAATTCCACAGCAGCACTCTGCTCGTAAGAACCTCATGAAATGACCACAGCCTGTGTAACACTTTTAATATAAACTTGTTCTCTATGCTGATGATCATTTCGGAACTCCATTCCTCTGTTCCAGCTTTGATGCAAATGATTAATCCATGCGGTTCTTCTAGTCAGAGTTGGAACTTGTAGGTCTGTTGGAGATAATACACTCCATAGTGTGTTATCTAATTGGCAAGTTAGATTTTCTGCTGAGTCTATTACCTATCTGGGAATACTTAACCCAGGAGATGCATTACAAATTGTTAAGTTAAATCTGAGTAAGCTGATGAATGAGGTCTCAAAGGACATTGACAGATAACAACAATAAAGTTAAGCCTATGGGGTAGGGTAAATACAGTTAACATGTATTTAAACATATTATTATTATTATTATTATTATTATTATTATTATTATAACATTTCTATGCCGCCCCTTGCCGAAACCTCGGGGCGGCTTACAACACGATAAAATACAATGAAATACAATAGCACATAATAAATTACCATTAAATACAAAGTACAAAAAATACATTGGTTTACAAATATAAGATTAAAATTATCAGTATAACTTAAGTAAATAAAAATATAGGAGGAGAAAGAGAAGGAAGAAGAAGTTGCCCTGGCCAGATCATATGTTTTAACAATTCAAATGATGTTTAAATAAAAAGGTCTTTACCTGGCGCCGAAAAACCAGTAACGACAGTGCCAGGCGGACCTCTTTGGGGAGTGAATTCCATAGGTTGGGTGCTACCGCAGAGAAAGCCCTCCTCCGAGTACTTACTCTCCTAATTTCTTTCGTGGAGGGTTCCCAGAGAAGGGACTCTCCCGCAGATCTCAAAGGGCGGTTGGGCATATACGGACGTAAGCACTTGTTCAGGTAGCCAGGACCCAAGCCGTTTAGGGCTTTATAGGTCATAAGCAACACCTTGAATTGGGCCCGGGCTTCAATGGGAAGCCAGTGAAGCTGACGGAGGACTGGAGTCATGTGAGCATAACGCCCCATCCCCGTCAGCAACCTGGCAGCTCTATTTTGCACCAATTGAAGTGTTCGGACTGTCTTCAGGGGACTGTCTTCAGGGGAAGCCCCACGTAAAGCGCGTTACAGAAGTCTAGGCGGGAAGTCACCAGCGCGTGTGTCACCGTCGCCAGGCAGTCGTACTCCAGGTAGGGGCGCAGCTGATTAATCAGCCGAAGCTGAAGGAAGGCGTTCCTCGCCACCGCTGTCACCTGAGCTTCCAAAGAAAGCTCTGGGTCGAGGAGTACTCCTAGGCTGCGGACCTTATCCCTAAGAGGGAGTGTTGCACCATTCAGGACCAGGTCAAATCCACCCTCTCCGAAACCCGATCCGCCAACCAACAGGACCTCCGTCTTGTCTGGGTTGAGTTTCAGTTTATTCAGTATTCCTTTACTTATATCTGGCAAGTATTTCCAACAGCTTAATGTTTTGTTTCCTAAATGTTTATGGGGTTCCACTCACCAGAAGCATCCTTGAAAAGGATGCAACTTTTGCTCCAAGAGAGTGGATTGTGCCTCCTTGATCATACACACACACACACACCATTCGTTGACTTGCACTAGATTTTGGTAATTTCTTCTTAGTTTAAATTGCTCTCCCTGGTTAGTCTTGGAATCTTCATTTCTGGATCTTTTCCCCAGCTTGCTTGCATTAGTCTTTCATCATATGAAAACAGATAATGTAGCCCCTGAGTTGTGTCAGCTAGAGAGCTGTGGCATTTATTTCCACGTTAATTGCAATTTGATGTATTTTTCACATGCAAGGATGATCTAATGGGGAAATACAGCTTTTAAAACTGGCAAGAAAGCATTTGTTTGGCAGACTTCAATGGGCAGCTGAATTTTACTTTGGATCAGCCTTCAGTCAAGATCTGCCATTTTCTGCTTTGTGTGCTGGATACAAGTTGCCAGCTATGGCTGCGTGGCAATACAAGCAAACAGAACATTTGCTCGAATCCAGATTTGGTCATGCTGCTTTTACAGCCTCAGAATCGACTGTTTTATGGGAAGCATCGATTGAGTCTGAACAATTACATCAGCTTACAATTCATGCCTAGAAATATCTATTCTGTCTACACAAAAATATGCATATTATATGCATATCTATACAATCTACAAGATCTCCTCCAAGAAGGGAATAATGAACTGGAGCGCCTCATCTTGCCCAGCCAATGGAGTGTTTTATCATTACCTGTTTTGCAACGGATCACACATCTTGGGCTATGCTTCATTCAGCAAAATTTGAAGTTTCCATTTTGGACACTGCAACTTATTTTTGAGAAGGGCTTAATTCAACTAGCCAGATTTTGGTGCTGCAGGACTGCTAATGCTTATCTCAATGGTGGCTTCCTTTAGGAAGGAGGTAATAATTTGGATAAATCTTGTAATGGAATGTTCTTTAAGATTCAAGGATACACCTGTTCTTCTGACTTACTTGTCTTTTGGAAGGTAACACAAGGTCAACATAACTAGATTTTCTATACCCTTTTGACAGCTAAATGTCTATTATTAGAACACCAAAAGAATAAACAGCCACCTGCAATAGCATAATGGGTGATTTAATGGAACTGTCAATTTTTGAATGGGTGACCTTTAGGCACAATCTACAAATGATAAATACATGGATATTTGGGGGTTGTTTCTTGAAATCTATGCCTAATTATGTTAATCATGATGGTATGTTCTGTTATAGAGTAGCATATAGAGATATATAAATATGTAATTAGTGCTGTGGATCTTTTTATATTTTATTCAAAACTGTAGTGTTTCAGTTTCATTCCTTTTTTATTTTTAATGATGTGGTTTGGGGGTTTTTTGTATTGCACAATTTTAAAAAATGGAATGACCACAGCCACAGGGCCTTATGATGGCACAGAAGAAGAAAAACCTTTACTTTAATGTTATGTGAAACTCCCAAATGCTCCTCTATTTTGAGAACTGGGTGGTGGAGGCGGTTGTTTTGCTCTCACATGCTGTAAAAAGGCCTGTTTGTGAAGACCTGCATCTCATGTGGTTTTGCTGAATGGCCCAGAGTACGATCCAGGGCTCAGCTGACCATCTTGGCTTCAGTCTGTCTCTACCACAGCCCAGAGAACCATCTAGAAGTCGCCTTCTGTCCCAGAGCGCAGAGCTGCCTGCCTTCTGTACCCGTCGATGGCACTGGTCCAGTGAGACAGGATGAGGACTGGTGATTCATGCTTTAGCTGGTGTGGGCAGAAGAGCAGATTAGATGATCCAAGAGAAGCTTGTATTGCAGTATATTTCAAAAGATTTCTCATTTGAGTAATAGCTTGCCCAACTGATAAAGTCCAGATGGGTAGCTATGTTAAGTCCCTTTATGGAAAAACAACAAAAAGGACCCTGGACCAGGGCGAGCAGACTTGAGGCTTGTGGGAGTTACTCTGGCTTTTTTCCCCTAGAAGCCTGAGAGCCCATGGACAAAAACTGGGTGTAAACAATACTTTTTATTTATTTATATCCTGCATTTTTCCGGTAGGAAGCCAAGGCAGCTTCCATACTCCTCCTCTCCGTTTTATCCTTCCAATTGCCCTGTGACTTAGGCGAGGCTGCAAGTCAGTGATTGGCCCAAAGTCACCCAATGAGCTTCATGGCTGAGTGGGGGCCAGAACCTGGATCTCTCACATTCCAGTCCAGCCCTCTAACCACTACACCACACAGAATTCTGAGTTCAAGTCTTGGTTTTGAGTATTAGTACTGAACTCATAAAACACCATTCTGGAATACTGCAAACTTCAGCATGTGAGCTGTGCAGAAAGCCCAGATATGGGATATTGCAGTGACATATACATCCAATTAATTAATTAATGAGCAGTCTTAATGTTGTTTCGACTGTTAAAAATGTAGCAGTCAGAAAATCCTTGCTGATCTACTATAAACCAATGAAAAATCACCAGAAGAGAGGTCTACCTTCCATCCACCCTTTATGGAGAATTAAAGCCCACCTCAGCAGGTGAAGTGGCTTCTTGTCAGCCTCTAAAAGCTCATGACACCATAATTTTGCTACCCTTCTCAGAGCTATGAGCAGGACTACAGTAGACCTCTGCAAATCTCAGAGCAAGGACCAAAATTCCTAATGCCTTTTGCAGAAGAAAAGCATCTACTTTTCATAGTAGATTATCAAACTGATCCATGCTTTGGGATGCTGAGTGATTTATATATTGGGCCTTTGCAGCTCAGGATTTAAAAAAACGAACAGGAGAATTTGTCCTTGGTGCAAATGGATGAGTGCTGTTCTCCGCATGGAGGCCATGGAATTGGGCGAACGGCCTTGTGCATTTCAGCCAGCCTGTGGGGAATACCACTTTTGAATGCTTCCCCAGTGGGAATAAATATCCATATAAAAGAAAACTGCAGGGGAATGCAAGCCCAGCCCACTTCCTGTTGTGCTCTTTATATCCTTGTGGGGAGTCTTCCCAATCAAGAAGCATCCGGAGCACTTCACAGTCCAATCTCACATTGTAGAACTCCACCACCTCATTCCAGCCTTGTTCTGCTGTAAGTGTGGAATAGTGGAAGTGTATGAAAAATTCCAGTTCTTGGAAAAGGGAGAGGACATGTGACTAAGGGGAAGAGGTGAGTGCCACACCAGGGACACTTCCTGCTCTCAGCTAGGAGGGAATGTGTGGAAGGATATTTCCTTCATTATCACGTTCTAATCAGGAGTGAGCAGCTGGGTTGCAGATCGCAGCCCAAAGGGGTCACAACATGGGCCCACTACTGCAGAATGGACTGTCCTAATTATCAGTCTTCTTGGATTTCTCATTTCTTCCGCACTGTGAGGAATCAGTGCGGCTGGGCTGGGGTCACCGTGTGTCTTACTTTACAGAGAGAGGTCCTCTGTTTGAGGGCACTTCCAGTTCAAGCTTGATCTAAAGAGAAAGTCCTCTAAGGGAGAAGAAAAGGGGCCTTGTCACCCATCAAACAGTGACCGGATAGCAGACTGGGCAAATGCACAGGCCGTATGGTCCCAGTCATCCTAACCATGGTAGATATATCATACTTTATTTATATTTAAATCAATGGTATTACCTTTATATCACCATATAAATCAGCATATGTACATATTATGAAAACGTGTGTCCTCTTTTTGGCATTGCATGAATGACCATCCCGTCATGTCTGCTTCCCCATCAGCTTGTTCGTGTGAAAGGCATAAATGTGTGCAGGATTTTCCCACACCATCCAGGATCTTGCATTTTGCTTCATGTGGATACATCGATGCTTGTGGGATAATGAAAATATGTCATCTCCCAGGGAAGTTGAGCAGATGGAGGAGATGTGTTTGCACTAGAACACCTGGGGTACTTGTAAACACTGCACAACCTGGCAAAGTGCCTCATGATAAACGAAAGGATTTATTTGACAAGGTAGATGTCAAAGTCCGTGGGATTTACCACTGGAGGAGGGAGGACAGGTTAGGGCAGGGCTGACAAAAGCCACAGATAACCAAAAGCACGAAGAACAGCATTTGGAGGCATCTCTGTATCTTTCAGAGTAATGAAATAGAGAGAAACACAAAGAACTCTGAATTTCTTGGCTCTAGTGACACTGTGATAGTCATTGCGCTCACGGGTTAATCCAGCCTGAGTGAAGGGCCTGTTCGCACAGGTCGCATCTCTTCGATCCGGAGGCCCATCGCCCAGACTCTTTTGACATGTGACAACCGATGCGTTAACTCCTCACACTTCTTATGGACTGGAGGCTCACTCTCCACCTCACTGAGAACCTCCAGGAGCCCTGCACCCCTATGGGTCGAAAGCTCTTCCTGGAGAGGCTGTTGAGCCACTTAAGTGTGCTGTCTCTGCTTTCTACATACTGTTCAGTGGGAAAGGATATACATGGGGAGCTACTGATGCTTACAGTGTGATTCGCGGAGATGGGCAGACATATCACCTAACCCTTGTTTGCTTGGAAGTAAGTGCCATTTGTTCAAATGGAATTACTCCAGTCAAGGTATTAAAATATGCTTAAAGGCTAAAAGAACGGTTCAGTGATTGCATAGCATCAAAAAGATGGTGGGTATGATTCTGTTGGGAGTTCTAAAGGGGACTCCAGGGCTTGGGCACCCACTTCAGCTCACTTGGGGCCCACGGGCTGCAGATGGCCACACATGACAACACTGACTGGCAGCAGCTCTTGGCGGGTTCAAAAGGGAGTTCTTCCAAGCCCTTGGGCCTTCTGCAGGTGAAACACGGGCTCTACCAATGTGCTGTGGCCCTTGTGCCTAAAGAGAGCACTGAGGCCCCAATCCAGGTCCCCTGAGGACTTTTTGCCAAGAAGATAAAGCCAGGTGAGCCAGTGCAGTGCTTAATATACTCAGAGGAACTGAGCCAGCTGGGAGACATATTCTGGGATGCTATCAAAGGCAGTAGTAACTAACTGCTGCTTTGATGGCAGCCTAGCTCTGCCAAGGGCCAGCCAGGGGCTGCTGAAGGGTTGGCAGGCGTCAGCTTGGGCTTGATACGGCTGCTGGCTTTGCAAGGCATTGCTGGAAGACTTGGGTGACCACCAGTAATTGCTGCTGCGACAGCACATTCATAAGGTCTGCTGTGGCCACAAGTGCTGTGGAGGTCAGCCAGGCACCGTGGTGTGTTCCCACAAGGGAGGATGAAGTGTGGCTCTGAAAGGAGAATTGGCTGCAAAACTTTTGCATTCACAAGAACTACATTATGCTAGTTTGCTGCTGTTATAGATTAAACGTATGTTATAGATTAAATGCATGCATGCGCGCACACGCACGCATGCGCACACACTTGCAAGGAAAGGAAGCAGGTCACGTTTCTGCCTTCTGCAGGAGAAAGTTTTGCATCTGTGCTATTCTGATCAAAACTAAGGTGATCCAAAATCTGCACCATTGTCCCGCATAATAAATTTGAGACAAAAGCACATGAGAGGAGGGCTGATCCTAAGCCTCGATTCTACCAGCAGTAGGATGCCACTTTCTAAGCAGAATCCCCATGTCTCTCCTGCACCCTGCGGCTCCCGGCCTACCCTCCAGATCTAATCCAGAGAGCCCGAGAACCCTCCAGAGGAGAATCAGAGAACACACGGAGTGCTGCAGTGGGGGATGACTGGGCACAGGAGCCCTGTGCTGCAAGCAGTGTCGTTCCACCAGTGTAACCAAGATTTGGGCCCAATCCAAGATCATCATAAAAAATCAAGTTTGCTTTTTCATGGAATCTGTCAATATCTATAGCAGAAGAGCACGTGTTACAGGAGCATGAAGCATATACAGAAAATTCAAATACTGTTGGAGGCAACAACAAAAAAACATTTTAAAATCTTTTTAAAAATCCAAAGGTTCTGGGGAGCATGCCTTTCAGGCATCAATCCCCCACCCACTCTTATCCACATGCGTGTCCTTAGCTGTCCAAGCAGAGATAAGAGGGGAAAGACTAGGTTCAGACAGCACAATAACCCACACTCAGACTGAAAATAGGTTGAGTGTGGGTTGTCACAGAACCTATACTCAACTCTGAACTCTACTGTGCTGACAAGCCATCCTTTGTTAACCATGAACAATCCATGAAAAGAATCCATGGTTTGTTGTTTGGTTGTGAACTGTGAATTGTTTGTTTTCTTGATTAGGCTGAAACAAAATGATAACCTACATTTCAACAACAATCCACAATCCAAGGATAACCCACTCAACCCATGTTCAACCCTTGAGTGTGTCACATTATCAGAACCCATCCAAAAAGCTAAATGACAAGATCTTGGTAGCTGCCTGACCTATGAACCAAGGAGAATCCATGGCTTGTCACTGTCTCATGAGCCGGAGGTGCTGGTTAGGGATAGGGGGCAATTTCATTTGGTCTGGGCAGGAGGGTAATAAAAACTTAGCAAATGTTGCATATTGCTTTATTAAATGAGACAGAAAGCACTTGAGATGTTGAAAAGAAAAGGGGTGGGAAAGCATGCACACAACTGGAAGAAAACAAAATCAGCAGATTCATCCATCCAGGCAGAGGACTTTCAGTGCTTCTTTCTAAAAACATTGTTTTGAATCCTTATAGATCCAACTGTGTTTGTGGTACTGAGTTGAGAGCAATAGACTGGAGAGCAATATAGATTCAGATTTGTTGTATGCTCATCCCTTCCTGCTCCCTTCCTGCTTCCTTCTTTACATGACCTTGTGACCCTCCAGTTTCAATTGTGTGTCTCACCAGCATGTTCTCTGCTT